GTTCTCGGCAGCTGACAGCTGACAGTCACACATCTCATCAGGAGCAGGATGGAGGCAACCACCGGAACGGGAAAGGGCAGGGAAATGTCAGCGTTTGCAGAACACAACGAGATAACAGAGTGAGCTCTTATTTACAGAGGTCGTGGTCTCGTTTCAGCTACAGCAAAAAGAGATTTAAATTCTGAAGGGCTGTGAGGAGGTTTGGCCTCTGGATTGTGCCCACAGCAGGGTGGGCACAGGAGCAGGGCAGGGATTGTCCCCCGTGCTGGGGTGACACCTCCAGTGCTGGGGCAGTTCTGGGACACTCAAAGTAAAACAGAGAGGGGCTGGAGTGTGTGCAGGGAAGGGAAGGGAAGGGAGATGGGAAGGGGCTGGAGAACTCCTGAGGGAGCTGGGGGGGCTCAGCCTGGAGAAAAGGAGGCTCAGGGGGGACCTTCTGGCTCTGCAACCCCCTGACAGGAGAGTGGAGCTCCCAGGGAACACGGGACAGGAGGAGGGGGAACAGCCTCCAGCTGTGCCGGGGAGTTTTGGGTTGGATATTGGGAAAACTCCCTCCTGGAAAGGGTTGTCCAGCCCTGGCATGGGGTGGAGTCCCCATCCCTGGAGGGATTTCCAAGCCCTGTGGATGTGGCACTTGGGGACAGGGGGCAGTGGTGGCCTTGGCAGTGCTGGGGGATGATTGGACTCCATCATCTCAGAGACCTTTTCCAACCTCAACCGTTCCATGATTTTAAGATTCAGCCTCAGCAGAAGAGCTGGACAAGGAACAGAAACCCCCAGGTGGTACCTGCAGCAGGGATTGGGCATCAACCCCACGATTCCTGAGGTCCAGCTGGGAATTCTCCACACTGGATCATGTAGGAGACCCCCTTGGCTGATCTGGGCTCATCCTGCAGCAAGGTCCAGGTGGGATCTGGGGATCTGGAGGTGCCCATCCCATCCACAGCCACGTGGGGAGGAGCTCTGGAGCAGCTCTGCCAGGGCACACTCATCCTCACCCACCTTCCTCTGGGTTTGCTTCCCAGGGATCAAAAGGGCATCATGGAAAGGCAAAGAAATGGATTTTGAGCCTCAGTTTGTAGGGCTGGATAAAACCTTGTTATGCTGCTGGGACCACTCAAAGGAAGAATTGTCCAGTAGATAACAGGGGGGCAAAACCTCTTTGTGGCCTAATTAAAACCTTGCCCTACTTAGGACAAGGAGGAGGCAAATTCCTCCTTTTATACATCTCTCAGGAAGGCAGGGACACATCCAGAGGGAAATATCCCCCATCAAACCCAGTCCATCCCAGTTGACCTTCACTCCTCACCCCAGCGGAGCAAAAAGGAGGAAAAGACAGGAAACACTGCTGGCAATGGAAAAGGCACCCAAAAAATCCAGAGTGGTTTCTTTTTTTTTTTTTCTTTATAAAACGTACAGAAAGAACATAAAATCCTTTTGAGGTAAAAGTGAGACCAGTTTGTAATTCAACCAAGATAAAGAAACGACAATGACAAAAAAAAAAAATAAACCTACAGCGGGTGTGGTAGTAAAATAAGAGAGCAGGTTTGGGGCTCTGTACAATACTTGAGGTTGTTAAAATGTAATCCTCAGCTTATATACATTAAATACATACAATTACAGCTATTTATACGGTATTTACAGTCACAAACACGTGGTTTCCCCCCTTTTGCAGTTGGCTGTGTGCAAGCAGCTCATCTGATCTTTCCTGAGAAGGTGCCGAGGCTGTTAATTGTTAATTCTTAATTTCTCCCATCTCTTTTGGGGTCAGATCCATCAAAAAATGAGACAAGAGATCTACAGTTGCTGCAGTGATCCTTGGGTTTTTTTTTTTTCCAGCTTGTAGGAGAGGGTTTGTTCCGTGCAAGGATCCTGAATCCCAAGGGATTGAGGTGGAGATTCCTCCAGTTGTCAGCCACGACCTCAACTGGGGGCAAAGCCCATGGCAGGGGTGGCACTGGGTGGGCTTGAAGGTCCCTTCCCACCCAAACCATTCCAAAATTCCACGGGAAAGATGGTTTCATTAAAAGAAATTTCAGTGTCTGCACTGAAACCTCTGAACCTTGTTCTCCAGGGGTGAGTGGGGTGACACATTCCCACCCTTTGGATCTGGTGGTTTTGGGAGGAAACACAACCAGCTTCCCAGAATATAAAACTTGGAGTCCAAGCTCTCCAATCTGACAGATAAGGAAAACTGAACAGCATTTTAATAAGTAACAGCAGGGTGTACAATCCCAAATTCCCTGTATTTGGGTTAATGACAGTTTTAGTTTGTTATTATTTAACTTTTCAACCCAGATATTGTAAAAAGAAACAGCCAAAAACAGGGGACTTGGAGTGGTCTGGGGGTATAAAGGGAGAGGAGTTTAATACCAGGAAGGGATAAACAGGAATAAATGATGCTGAACAGGTACCAAGAATTGGGTTTTTATGAAAAATATCCCCACAGCAAAGTCTTGCCGCAGCCCTGGAGCCAGTGCAGAGGGCAAAGCCCAAACACACCCTCCCTGCTGTGCCTTTAAATTGGTTTTAAGATGGATTAATTAGCGAGTTCAGCACCTCCTTCCCCATCCCAAATCCCACAGGCACCTAAGGCACATTCCCATGGGATTTATGGGGTGACACCGGTCAGGGGTTTAGGGAAAGGTGACAGAAAATTGAGAACTCTGGAAGTCCAGTGACTGCACATTCTGTAGGTCCCGAAATTCCATAATGGAATGGTTGAATTCCCTCTTTCCTGCCCTACTCTGGCCTTGTGGTGGAGGAGCCATAAAAGCTCCTGCAGTGCTGGTTTTTTTTTTTTGCAAAAATTAAGAAGAAAAGGGGAAAAAAAAGAATTTGAAACGTAAAAATAACCTTTTTATAGCTTTTTATAGTTTTATGGGAAAATCCAAGCATTAATCCAGATGGCACCCAATCTCTTTATTAGCACAGAGAGGCAGAGAGTGCTTAAAATACCAAACTGTATCTTATTTTTATTGAACTGCTCTAAAAAGCCGTTTTTCTGACGGATTGCAGCTCTTCTTGGGGAGAAAGAGAGTTTCAATTATCCTTCAATACACGAAAAAACATTACTAGAGAGTAAACCCTCCGAAAATAAACCCAGGGAAGCCTCTTCCACTTTTTCCATGGGGAAAAAACCCTGATCCTTCTGCCTTAATTCCTCAGTACAAAGGGATTTCGCTGCCCTTACAGGGAAAAGAGAAAAAAATCATAAACAAGAAGTTGATGTTTTAACTGATCAGCTTTGTCTTAAAGTTTGGGGATCTCAATCACCCCCAAAAACCTTGTTGTGCCCCGAATGGAACAGAGGTTCCAGGGCTGGATGTGAAGAAGGAAAGCTCTGGCACCAGTGGAGGGCAGGACTCGTGGTGGGGCTGGAAGGTGCAGTTCCATCTCTTTTGGGTCCTCTCCCAAATTCAGGGGAAATTGCCTGTTTCCAAGGATTTCTGTGGGGCTGAGAGCAGCACACCCTTAGGTTACAGTCCCCAAACAGTGGCTGATGAGACGAGATGGGCTCAGTGTGAAGACCTTGTTGTCCACATGTTCCTCACGTGGGTCATCTCCCCTTTTCTGGGCTCTCCAAGAGCTGCTCCTGCCTTCCAACCATAACTGGGCATTTGAGGGTGATTTGTAAGGTCTTTCTCTGCTTCCTTTCAGTCTGTGCTCCTTTATCCCTCCTCGTGTCCCATCCAGGCTGGAGGAGAGCTGGGTTGGCAGCACATCCAAGTGTTCCATAACTGCATGTGGGACACAGGTTGCCCGGAGAGGTCGTGGATTCCCTACCCCTGGAAGTGCCCAAAGGCAGCTTGGACGGGGCTTGGAGCAACCTGGGATAGTGGAAAGTATCCCTGGGTGGAACCCAGGGTCCCTTCCAACCCAAACTATTCTGTAATTCCACGATTTCCCATTCCAACCTCCACCTCCCTCTGCTTTGGGAACACGCAGCAAACTCCCCCAGCCATCCCATCCAAACCAGCTGCTGATCCCAACATCCCAGTGCTGGAGTTGCTGCACAGTCCACATTTGCACCGTTCAGTATTTGATGTCCAATATAAAACTCCATCAGAGACATTATTAGATGGGATAACCCAGAACTGAGTCAGAGGGTTTTCAAATTCCTCAGGAGACCTGCCAGTTCCAACTCCCTTTGTCTGATTCCTGGTCCAAAAATCTTACAAATACTGCATCTGTTTGCACCAAAAAAACCGAAAAATAAAATCAAAATCGAGACTAGGAAATGCATATCTCAATTTGTTCTTCTTATTCATGGCCTGGAGTAAAATCCCACTGCCCTTTCCAGTGGTTTATCCTGGGAATGTGAAGGAAGATAACGCTGCTCCTAAGGCAACACTGGAGAGAGAAAAGCAGCTTTTCTTTTGACCTTCTGCCCCCAGGCAGAGTAAAACCAGAATAAGGATGGGAAATAAATTCCCTTTCACACAAAGACCTGGGCTTTTCAGGACAAACAGATTATCCTGCCCTGAAAGGAGATGTTTGTGGTCTTTGGCTGTCAATCAAAACCCTTTATCCCACATAACGTGAGGGAAAGAAAAATCAACATGTAAAGAGGGACCAGGGATTCCAGCCTGGAGTCTCAGCTTGGGATCTACACAAGCAACCAGGATCTCCATTCCTTGATCTTCAGGACAGCTGGGGACATTCCAGGGCAATTCCCAAACCTCCCTTCCCATGGAGTCACACCATCACCACCAGCTCTGCCCTTGGTGCTTGGAAAATCCTTCTCCTGGTCCCTGCTGAGCAACGGGCACCCAAGGCTCAGCTTCCTTGGAGTCTGTTTCTGGAAAAAAACAGGAAAAATATTTGAAAGGAAATGGAATGTTTCACGTGCTCCTTCAACCTGGTTTCATGGAAAGCATCCCTCCCGTGGCAGGGGGGCGGAACGAGATGAGCTTTAAGGTCTCTTCCAAACCAAACCACTCTGGGAATCTGGGATTCCGTGAAAATGATTGACAGGTTGTCACTCTTTTTTTTTTTTCCCATAATCCAGGAATATTCCAGGCTCAGGACAGTGAGGTTGTGCATCATAAAACACAGCAGGACCAGGTCCCTGACCTGTGGGATCTCCTGCAGAGCCTGCTGAGGCTCCAGCCTGGAGCATCCCCGAAGTGCTGGGGTGTTGCTCCAACAAGAAATTGAGGGAAAAGGAGCCACTCAGGTCACACATGGATGAGAAATGCCAGAGGAGAATGAATCCACTTCTGTCAGGGCTCTCAGTGATCTTGGGAAAAGCCAGACCCTTCCAAAGTTAGATTCTTAGACCATCCATCAGTTCTGTGACTTTCCCAAGACATCAGCGGGAGGAGACACATCCAGGTTTGGATTCCACACGTCCTGAGTAATGAGACAACAACCTCCTGCTCAAAAATCTGCAGCGGGGTCTTGCCATACCTGAGCTGGTCCTCCAGCCAGCCATCCACCCTCAAAATCCAGGGCTTCCAACGGGAAATTCTGTGGTTGGTGTTTTTAAGGGTGTCAAATCCCACAGTCCATCCAGACTCAGAGCTCCCATTATTTTCCAAACCTCACAGTCCATTCAGATTCAGAGCTCCCACTGTTTTCCAGACCCCACAGTCCATTCAGACTCAGAGATCCCATGGTTTTCCAAACCCCACAGTCCATCCAGACTCAGAGATCCCATTGTTTTCCAGACCCCACAGTCCATTCAAACCAGAGCTCCCATTATTTTCCAAACCCCACAGTCCACCCAGACCCCACAGTCCATCCAGACTCAGAGATCCCATTATTTTCCAGACCCCACAGTCCATCCAGACTCAGAGATCCCATTATTTTCCAGACCCCACAGTCCATCCAAACCAGAGCTCCCACCATCTCCCAGACCCCACAAAGTGCCTCCAAAGCCTGGAACCAATATCCCAGGAAAGCTCCAGCCCCCCCAGCATCACCAGTATGGACCATTAGACCTTCAGACACCCCCAGCTGACGAAGGGAAAGCCCAGGCCAGGCTATTTTGGGGGACTCACTGCTCAACAAACACACGCACCACTTGGCATACCTTACCTGGAAAGAGGCTTTATTGAACAGCTGTAAAATTATCTCTTCAGTTGAATTACTGAATTTGCACAAACATTTCTCTACAGAATAAAAAAAAAAAAAAAAAATCAAGCCTTGTCATCGTTTTGCTGCATCTCGTTGTGCTTTTTATACTCGTGTTTGCAAATATTCTCCTCGTTTGTTTGTTTGTTTTCAGGTTTTTACTCCAATTATTTGCATATCAGGCGGTTTGTTTGTTTGTCTTTTTTTTTCGATCTTAGGGCGTCGAGAGAACACGGAATAATAATAATAATAATAATAATAATTATAATAATAATACTCTCCCTTAGATGAAAGTCCTTTTTTTTTTTTTTTTTTTTTTAAATAAATTTAAAACTGGGAAAATTTTAAAGGAAAAAAAAAAGGTCTTCAAATTGTCAACTGGAAGGAGGGAACTTTTACAATGCAGTGGAAAACCGGCTGGCTAACGGCACGTGTTGGGGGGGGGTGGCTCAAACCCATGTTGTTGTTTTTTTTTTTATTATTTTTCTCCTTGTAAAAGTGGGATTTTTTTTTTTAATTTTTTTTTTTAAATTTTTTAATATTATTATTTTTATTTTTTTTTTTAATTTTGCTACGGTAACAAAAAAAAATAAAATAATAATAATAACCTCTCGTGCTCGGCGCCGGGGGGAGGAGGCGCGTTGAGCCCCCTCGGCGCGTCGAGCTCGGCGGTTCCTTGAGGGGAATTCTGGGAATAAATCCCCCCCCAAACGACTCCCCCTCCTCCAGTGGAGGGTGGGAGCGGGAAAATCCCTCCCGTTTCTCCCCACCTTGTGTGTCCCAACAGCCTCTGCCTCTGGTTGACCCACCGGAGAACCCGGGACGGCGACGGCAAAAGCGCTGCTCCCATTCCCGTTCCCGATGGAAGCTGTTTTCTAAGGGATAAGAAGCTGAAAGGCCGTGGCCGTCTGGGAGGTCACACCAACAAATCCCTCATCCCAAAGGAGGGCTCGGGCAGCAGCTTTGAGGTCCATCCCATCCATCTCATCCATCTCCAGAAGCGAGGTCCATCCCATCCATCCCATCCATCCATCTCCAGAAGCGAGGTCCATCCCATCCATCCATGTCTGGAAACGAGGTCCATCCCTTCCATCCATCCATCCATCTCCAGAAGCGAGGTCCATCCCATCCATCCGTCTCTGGAAGCAAGGTCCATCCCATCCATCCATCCCTCCATCTCCGGAAGCGGCTCCGTCTCCTTGCCCTGCACACCCAGGCTCTGTAGTTTGTTTAGAAAAAAGTTTGCACAACCCACGTTTTTTAGCAGTGCAAGCTTCCTTTTGAAACCGTTATTCTCCTTACATTTATTCTTTTTATATATATATATATATATATTTAAATATATTTTCGTTTTTGTTTGTTTTATTTTTTTGTTTGTTTGTTTGTTCGTTTTTTTGTTTGTTTTAACTCAGGCTTGTTTCATTGAAGGCACTTGGTTTCCATGGCAATTTATAAAAGACGGTGGTTTGGTTTCTTCCCTTCGTCGTCGGAACGGATGACTCGGGTCGGGGGAGGAGGGGAGGAGGGAGAGGGGAGGAGGGGGCGAAGTGGCCGCAAGCAAACTCCGAAAATCCCGGAAAAATCCCGTGTAACGTGTAAAGCCCAGGGTGGCACGTCCTGGTGGCTGGGAAATGCATGCAAAGAGGAGACAGCACACACAGTTCTCAAGCAGAGCCATGAGAAATGAAAACAGGAACGTCTGAAACCGGCTCTGATCCCGGGTGATTCCCTAAGGGAGGCGACAGCCAAAGTAGGAAGGGCCTACATTTGTTTAACTCCACACTAAAAAACCTTCTGCAGGGGGAAATGAATGCCAGCTCTTCACATACCCTGTTTACAGTGAGGTGTTTCTCTCTCTCTCTCTTTTTTTTTTGTTCTTTATTTCCTCTTTCCTTTTTTTTGTTTTTGTTTTTTTTTGTGTGTGTGTTTTTTTTTCTTTTTGGCAGGCCATTAGGTTTCCATGGTAACAAGCAAACTATTCATTTGAAACAAAACCAGCCATGACTTTTTGTGCTTTGACAAGGGTTTCTATAGCTCTTCACCGAGAGTTCAACCAGATGATGCTGAATTCATCATTGACCACAAAAGCACCTGAAGGTCTCTTCCTTCCTTAGGCCAGATCCCATCCTCACACGTGGCTCGTGATGCCTTTTATGTCCCCAGTGCTTTCTTAATTACCTTTTTTTTGTTTTGTTCATTTTTTAATTATTTATTTACGTACTTATTTAACTTTCGAGTCAGTTCAGTGGAGGAATCTTTGGTAGTTTGTTTTTAAAATGTCCATTTTACAAAGACTCTTCTTCTTCATGCCAGTGCCTGGTGAATCTTTTGTAGCCTCTGCCAGGATAAGGTCACCTCTGATGACTTAAGACAGACATGAGGAGGAGAAGTGGGAGGAGTCGTATATGTGAGAATGTCCCAACAGCACCTGATCGTAAATCTACAGAAAAAGGAGGGGAAAGGACAATTAAAGAGCTGCCCAGACACAGTCAGAACTCTACAAGGCTTAGAAGATCGAGGGTTCAACCACCAGGAGCTGCACAATCATGTGGAGGTGGCGGGATGGGGCTCACTTGGGATGTCCCCACATGTCCCACTGAAGGCCACCAACCTCCCCTGCAGGAACAAGATCACCTCCTACACACAGGGAATGAGAACAACCCTCACAGCTAAATAGGGCAGAGATATTGGGATGAAAATCCACCTCACAACTAAACAGGGCAGAGACATTGGGATGAAAATCCACCTCACAGCTAAATAGGGCAGAGACACTGGGATGAAAATCCACCTCACAGCTAAATAGGGCAGAGACACTGGGATGAAAATCCAGCTCACAACTAAAGAGGGCAGAGATATTGGGATAAAAATCCACCTCACACCTAAAGAGGGCACAGACATGGGGATGAAAATCCACCTCACAGCTAAATAGGGCAGAGACACTGGGATGAAAATCCACCTCACAACTAAAGAGGGCAGAGATATTGGGATGAAAATCCACCTCACAACTAAAAAGGGCACAGACATGGGGATGAAAATCCAGATCACAACTAAATAGGGCAGAAATATTGGGGTGAAAATCCACCTCACAGCTAAATAGGGCAGAGACACTGGGATGAAAATCCACCACACAACTAAAGAGGGCAGAGATATTGGGATGAAAATGCACCTCACAAACCAAATAAGGCAGAGATTTTGGGATGAAAATCCACCTCACAGCTAAAGAGGGCAGAGATACTGGGATGAAAATCCAGCTCAAAACCAAATAGGGCAGAGACACTGGGATGAAAATCCACCTGGCTGCACAGTTCCAGTCTGTGCAATGCACACATGGGGGTGGAGGGATGAAAGAAGGTCCACAGGGAATCATAACAGTGATTTTCATGAATTTTATGTTATTTGGACCCTCTGAATATGTTTTTAATATTGCTTTATGTGTTTGACTGTCTCAAATTGGGACTGCACAGCCCAGCCCGCTGTGGGAGTCGCTCACTGTTCTCACCTCTGCCCAACACCCCCACCAGGCATCTCTGCTCACCCTCTACCTGAACAAAGCCATTTCCAAGGAAAACACTACAATTTAAGCCTCTCCAACCAAACCAGGTATTATTCTCCTGGAAAAAATTGTGGCTGCCCAGCTCAGCCCACCACGGAGTCACCCGCTACTCTCTCTGCCCAACACCCTTTCACTGATATCTCTGCTCAGCCAGCATTTTTCCCTCTGAAAAAAGTATTTCCAAGGAAAACATTCCAATTTAAGCCTCTCCAACCAAACCAGGTGTTGTTCTCCTGGAAAAGATTGTAGTTGCCCAGCCCACTGTGGAGAGTCACCCATTGCTCTCTCTGCCCAACACCCCCAGCCTTTCACTGGCATCTCTGCTCACCCTCTACCTGAACAAAGCCATTTCCAAGGCAAACATTTCAACCTAAGCCTCTCCAACCAAATCAGATATTGTTCTCCTGGGAAAAAAAATCCATTTGGGGAGTTGTCTCAGCTAAATAAACCCCTGAGGACCTTTCTGCCCCTCGTGTGGAGAAGCAGCACTTACTGTTGGCCGGTTGGTCTGACTTCATGCACTCCCCTTCCACAATGGACACGTCATCGATGGCAATGTCCCCTTCGATGCCAGGGCCACGGATCCCTTCAAAGATGAGCTGCAGAGCAATGAAGAAGAAGCAGATCAAGATCAGAGG